GTTAAGACCGGTGCGGGATTTTGCACCGAGTAATTTCGATGATGCGTTCGTCCATAGCCGGGCTATGGATGGAAGGACGGACTTTGAAGTCCACCGAACTCACGTCCGTAAGGTTCTTCAACTTATGCGCAAGCATAAGTTGTGTGCCAACATCAAGAAGTGTATATTTGCGGCAAGCAAAATACCACTTATGAGATGATTCGTCGGCAAACACGGCGTCCGCCCTGATCCCAAGAAGATCAAGGCGATCACTGATTGGCCAGTGCCAGTCGATGTCAAGGGACTGCGGAACTTCCTTGGCTTAGCAGCGTACTTGCACAAGTACTAGCGCAATTCCGCCGAGATGACTGTTCATCTTTCTTGCTTTCTCAAGAATTATGTGAGGTGGACATGGAACGCTGACTGTCAGCGTTCCTTTGATAGTATCAAGCAAATCCCGATGCAATAGTTCACCTTGGCGATTGCAGATTAGGACAGACCATTTCATGTGGTCTGTGACGCCAGCAATTTGCAACCAGCTGTGCGTTGATACAGTATGGCACAGACGGCGCGGAGCGCGTCGTCTGCTATCAATCGCGTCAGCTGCAACCAGCTGAGCGCAATTGCCCAGTGCATGACAAGGAACTCCTTTCCATGAAATACGCACTGGCTAAGTTCCGCGTATATCTCTTGTAAGATAGACCGTTCATTGTCTATACGGACCATGCGTCACTACGCACGGCCGTAAACAGCCCTCACCTCTTGCAACGAATGGAGAGGTGGCTGTATTTCTTCGCGGATTATAACTTATTCGTTGAGTACAAACCAGGACGACTGAACGTCGTCGCTGATGCGCTATCACGTCGGCCAGTTTCGAGCCGACTACACACGTCAACAGTGAGGACTTGCCCACTATTGCGGCGATATCAGTCAGCGTGCCGTCGTCGCCTTTACTCGACTACTTGCGGAAGGCGTACGCAGGGGATACGAATCTACTCCGTTTGACGGGTCATCTTGCGAACTTATCCCGGAAATCTTTGTCGGATTCGCCGGCTCTATACCGTTCCTCTTTGGATCGGTACATGACTCGAAATGGTCTTCTGTACTATACAGCAGTTGCTGACGACACTCCTCCTGTCGTCGTTCCCGATCATGACTTTTGAGATTACGCATCATTTTCGAATGTCACGACGCGCCGTCAGACGGGCACCGTGGTAGGTAAAAGACTTACCTCACGGTAAGTCGAGACTTTTACTGACCTCGCCAGTATCAGGTTGACCGCAAGTACATTCGTTCTTGCAAGGTATGCCAACGGATGAAGCCTAGTCCTTCATCCCGTGAACCGTTAAAACCTCTGCCGGTACCGGCAGAATGTCGGGAGTCCGTTTCCGTGGACTTTATCTTCAGGTTTCCCGAAGACGCTCACAAGACTGAGATTCTTGTGTTTGTCGATCGTTTCAGCAAGATGGTGCATCTTGCTGCGGTCCCCGAGTCGATCGCAGCTCAAGGCTGTGCGCTTGTCTTTATCGACACTGTGTTTCGACTCCACGGGGTACCCCATGAACTCGCATCCGACCGTGATCCTCGGTTCACGGTGGAGTTTTGGTAATCCGTGTTCCGCACTGTGGGAACACGGTTGAAGATGTCAACCTCTGACCATCCTGAACCAGATGTTTAGACAGAACGTGCAAACCGTGTCCTCGAAGAAATACTTCGAGGATGCGTCCACTCGTTCTCGAGTTGGAGTGAGTTTTTGCCGATGGTTGAATTCTCCATCAACAACTCCGTGCATGCGTTTACGACGCATACACCGTTCTACGTGAATGGCTTACGCCACCTACGTGTTCCCGCCCAAATACAGAGTGACGCTGGGTTAAGGAGGGAGGGACTCGCTCGAGCAAAAACTGTTTTGGCTCTTGCTCATCACGTATCATCGCACACCCCGATACGTTTGATGCCGATATCGATAATGTCTACATCGACGCAATTGGCGTTAGAGGTAGCAATAACGCTGCTGCCACATCAGACAGTGTTGACGATGCTGGAATATTCAGCATCGTTAACGATTATGTCAGAGAGGAAGAGGACAACTTCGCTGAAGGAGAGAATAATCGTTTAGCATTGCTCACGAATCGCACTGAAAGACAAAACAACGAGTCAGCAGAGAACTTCCTGCTGAATCGAGAGACGGTGGTCCGTTTCGTTTAGGACTACATCGCAGATGCGGTGGACCATTAGAAACGGAAATCAGACAAGAATGGAAGATCAAATGCTCTTTCATATAAGATTAACGACCTATTACTACTGTCTACGGTAAACCTACCTAGACATGCAGTCACTAATATCGGCAGTAGTTTACTACTGCCGAAATACATTGGTCCCTTTCTTGTATTGCACCGCAAAGGCAATGCATACACGATTGGATTGCCTCGCAGTATGCGCACGCATCCTACGTTCCGTGTTGGTCGTCTCCGCCAGTTGTATCAGCACGAGGCCTCTTCCGAGAACGGAGATAGCCACCACGCTCAAAACTCCCCAACAGATTCTTGTGATCACGTACCAAACTATCAAGTTGGTCCTTCAGCAACGCAGTCTCGCGACGAGCTGCCTCTAGCCCGTCGCGCAAATAACGCTTCTCGTGTTAGTTTCCAAGCTGAACGAACGCGAAATCCGTAGGTCCTTCTCCCGATCGGTACGGAGACGTCGTACGTTCGCCAGCAAGTCGTTCTGACGGCCGTACTCGTAATCGACGTCCTCGCTCAACTCGTTCAGGTACTTTACCACGACTAGAGCCTTTGCCTTAGTCGCTCTCTCTTCCTCTGTTTAGTTCTACACTTAGTGGGGCACCGACTACCACTGCAGTCAGTGATAGTAAACTCCGTACTGGTTGACCAGTACGTATTCATCGTTGCCCCGTTTCATTGTTAGTCTGGCAGATACCTACTTTTCGAAGACCTTTCCATGGTTTCTGAAGAGTCGTCCTTGTCGCTCGTAGATATTTGCACGTGCCACAACAGTCCTTCCTGTCCCTTGGATAGTTCATTACAAGTGCCTCTTACACTGAGACGCACTACACAACTTCAACAGGGGATGTCATGTGACTTCCAACACACGACAATACTGATCACAAGCTATCTCTCGTGCCGTTACGACGAATTCTCGTAGCTCTTCGTCCGCGTCCGTCTATACCATGTCAACGATCGGCTCTTCATAACCTGGCTGTACTTTTCAAATTGCTCATTCCAGGTAAGATGCGTGCATTTCCTATAGCAACAGAGATCGTTGCGTCTGCATGCTGCTGATCACAAGCCTCGTGGTACAAGCGCATCTTGAATTCTCACGAATCTCTCTTTTCTTTCGACTGAGTCCCAGCCCCACACAAGTGCAGGCTAACATATAAGATGAGCCTCTTCAAATTGACCTTATCCAAATTGTCGATTGTCGATCGAACTGACGTCTTTTTTATTAACGATCGCGATATGTCTGTCAACTGCATGTTGTGTGACCGCAGCTAAAGTCTGACTGGTGATTCTCTTCAGCATCACTTGCTCCCCACATGAACGATGCAATCGAAAACCTGATCATAATACTTCGCTTTTGGGTTCGCAATACAAGTTGCTCCAGACGCAACTCCAGTGCAGGACAGGCAGATACAGTCTAGGACACTTTTGATACAGGCTAGGACACCTTTACAGCTAGACACAATACCCTTTCACTAAAGTCCACGGTCTGGACCCAGCTGTGCAGCTTTTGTCGTCATAAGCTAGCGCTTTGCAACTCAGCGTATCTTTACTACAACGCAACATCGCTGTCATGCGCTATAGCTCGTCTGGGCAAGCATCACTTTCGATCTGTGGGCGAGTCTTGTGGTACAGAAAGATTTTATATGGGTCGTTTCCCCAAATTATCTCAACAAGCGAAAAGTATGTGTGCGTCAATAACATATTAGTACCACGTCAACTGGCTCGGAGGCCAGAAAATCAAGAGAACATGCTGACGCTTTTGACGTGCGAGCTCTACGTATGCCATCTAGACAAACTGGAATATGTGTCGGAGCTACCCAACGAGCTTGACAAGATCAAACGATTAGCACGTTACGATATCCTTACTGTCTGGACAACAGGTCGATAGTTTTTGACAAACACGACTGTAGTCTCTGACGCTGTGCACTTAGAAGTCGACTAGTGGACAGCGAGGCCCCGTTCCAGAAAGCCGTCGCTTTTCGCAGATTTTGCCATCATTCAAGTCATTTGATACGTGCGCTTTTCGTCCAGATAGCCTACGTGAATTCTTCTCTGTTTACGTTAGTAGTCGAGAAGAACTATACGGAGCTCTCCATCGAGCAGTAAGCACCAGTACAATTGTTCTACTGGCTAATTCTTGCTTACCTGACAAGTCTAGTGCTTTTCTGTTGAAGCCCCTGAAATCTCAGAGAGTGACCAAAGCTATCGACGACGTTTATTGCAGCGTTCAGAGCAGCAATACTTTTCGCGTGCGTGCCTTGTGTCCATTAGATACCTTCTTAGGTCCTAGCGCTAGAGACTACAACCGTGATTGCCGAACAGTACTGGCTCGTTGCCCAGACAGTGAGATATCGTAACGTGCTCATCATTTGCAAGTGCATAATGTTGTATTGAGCATATATCTGGCATGACTAAGGACGTCATTTTCTCGTCATTGGGTCGGAAAACCTGCAATTGGCACTTATATTAGGAGAATGATTGACGCAGATTAATACAGACCCACCCGAATTTATTCCTTACGGGTACGCACCATCGAGGCATTCGTTAGTTGCCTCTGCTTGGAAGCGTGACTAGCACAAACGTAGTGCGAGGCCAACGAAAGCAGATTCAAAGAGAAAAACTGCACCTCAGATGCCTTCTCACTCTAAGTTTCGTTATTGTTATGAGTTATTTGTGGCCTTCGCGCACTCGTCGCTCGCTGGACGGTGCGTCAACCTCTTTCACTCGGTCCCTGTTGTCGGTATCTGGTGAGCGTGAGCGCTCCAGTAGTTTCGCTCGCTACTCGAGGAAATAATTAAACAAATCGCTGAGGGATACGAGACCCACGCACCGTGAATACTCGTCCACGCACACGAATCGATGCGCCTTGCAGGCCGCGAACCGCTCGAACATCATATGCAGTGTGTCCGTCTTGTAACATAGATGCAAGCCTTCTCCAACGTTGCCCTGCTCCCGCAGTCCACAGTTAGCATCCCGCAGTAATTTGATACAGAGCCAAAGAATAACGCGCTTGCTGACGCACCTCAGCCGCTTGAATCCGGAGAATCTCTCCCACAGGCATGTCTAGCTGAGTGAGTGACCGGTCCTTCACTAACTCCGTGACGTTCGATACGCAATAAATATTCACAACAACTCCTGAGCCGACAACAAGATACCGTGTGAGATCGAATCCGCCAGTTCAATAGCAACAACAACGAACGCAGCGGTCTACTTACCACTCGGGTCGATGATCGGCACAGCAGAGACCCTTCGCTCGATCAGAGTGTGCAGCACGCGGATAAGCGGCATGTCTTCAGGAACAGTCACAAAGCCATTGTAGACGCCGATGCCTAAATCGAAGATGGGTTGGTCGAACAGTCGACGCTGCTCGCGGAAAGTGGCCACCAGGTATTCCAAGATCCCGCTGTGCGTGATGACAGACAAGACCGAGTTTTGAGTTGGATCTACTACGGGAAGTCTATGAAGCCTATTGTCACGAAGAATCCTGCATACATCGTAGAGATTGTCCTCGGGCGTGATTGACACCATCTCGTCCCTAGTTGGTGCCATCGACAGCGACCGTGGAATAGCTGCGTCGTGCAAAACACCATGAGCCAAGATATCGTTGCAGACACACACCCACCACCTCCAGGACGCAGACAAAGTAGCTGATACACCTAGCAGCACTTTACCTCGCCACGAGGCAATGCTGTGCTCTGCGAGCTCGTTCATAGGCGATCCACGAATGTAAAAGTGGCGCAAAATATTCACAAAGTCCGTGGCCGTGAACATGCCCACGAACTTGCCCTGCTCGGCGTCCCAAATCGGCACCGACTTGATATCTAGCAGCAGCAACAGTACAAACAACAACAGCAGCGGCAGCAGCAGCGCACAGCAGCAGCAAAAGTAGCAGCAACAGTAGCAGCATTAGTCCACCGTCAGCCAGTAGGTCTCCACCCATTGTCCACCAGCATCAGCAATAAGTAAAACTAAGTGCAGCTGTTGCGTGTCGCACCGTGCTCCACCAGTGCGAAGAACGCGAGATTGATGGGGATCTGCACGTCAAAGACCACGACTTTGCCGCTGTTCTTGATCACGTCGTAGCACTGCGTGGCGCGCAAGAAGGCGGCCATCACGTGTCGACCCTCTTGGACCACGTCGAGCACCGCCGCGTGGCTCAAGTTCAGCGCCGACGACGCGGCCGACATCGGCTCCGCGTCGCCCATCGCGTGATCCCCAAAGCTCCGGAGCGGCGGCGCGTCGTCGTCGTCCTGCGAGGCGGCGTAGTCTCCGTCACGGGACATCTCTGCGTCGCCTCGTTTTCTCTTGCGGTCCGCGAGCGTGGTGACGACTGCAGCAGACGGGGAGAGGGCGAGCGAGCGAGAGAGCGAGCGAGAGAGAGAGAGAGAGGGGGAGGAGAAGACGCAGGAGGAGACGGAGGGGGCGGACGGCGGTGGGTCTGAGTCGGTGGGCGCGTCGACGTCGTCCTCGACGACGATCGGCGGTACGAGTTGTGCTGAGGGGGTCGCCCGGTCGGTATTCGGTCGGTCGGTCGGTTTTGATGCCTCGGTTTATCTGTCGGTTTATCTGGCTGGCTGCCTGATCTCTTGGCCTCGTGGTGTGGTGGGATAAAAGCTCCTTTTTTCTTTTTTTCTTGTTCTTGTTCTTGTTTGTGTGCTTTTTTGTCAAAAGGATGGATGGATGGACGGATGCGGTGGACGAGCGGATGGGGTTTTGGCCAATGAGGAGGAGGGAGGGCGCATGGGTTTGCTTGCGAATAACGCGTTTGATTCGTTGGCTGTTTGATAACGTGTGTGTGTGTGTGTGCTGCCACTCGTTCGAGCCCAGCGCGAGACTTTCTGTGAGGTCTTCTATATGATATGATGATGCCTTCCTAGTCGCACAGTTGTTGCTTGTTCCAGCCATTCTCTCTCCTGACACTGCTGATCACATGCTCAGTAGTAGTAGTAGTACGATGGGGAGAAGCTCTGAACAAACAATGCACACGCGTCTGTCCATGTTGAATGTCTAGTCATGTCATGACACCACTTGTCTCGACACTGTTTGTAGAATCCGACTGTATGGCGTACCGCAAAAGAACTCAAAACGACCTTATGTTGTCCTGGCTGCGTTCCACGTAAATGGCACCCGCGCAACGCTGGAAGCAGCGTGTCCGTTGCACTATAAGTGCATCTCCTTTTGGTAGTGACCATTGCACTCATTTGCTTGAAGTGAAGTCGTTTTTGCACCTTCGTGTCAGCACATCGTCGACCGCAGGTCTACTGCTGCACATCCCGCACATTTGCCTGGAGTCTGCTGGCATCAGAGACCCCTTTAGCCGGTCAACAACTACTGCAACCGTTCAGTGACCTCTTTTGCTCGTACCAGACGCCTTCGTGCATCGATCAATCCATTTGGCGTGTCACTCGCCACGTGACGCACGGACGACAGCTATGCGATCATAAAACGACCTGGTGCTATTCTCATCACACGACGCTCGTCGTGCGCGTGCGTAATCAAACGTGTCGCAGCATGAGCATGAAGAACCTGTTTCGACTGGTAAACGATTAACAGCTGCGGGCAGGCACTCCTCGACGGGAGATGGCTTAACGTGTAGCCGTTTGTCGCTGGATGATCGATGCGACTTGCAATCATTGAGCCACAGACAGCTTCGAACGAAAACGCGTTCGAAAGCAGATCTACGCTCGAAGTAGTCGACGTAACATGGCCGTTGGACTTCTGCCGACGCGACGGCAGTGGATGTCGAGCTGCGAATCTTTTGGTATAGACGTTTCTGGACGACGTACGATGTCGTCAATACACGTGCAGCTCGTCTTAGTATCGAGTGTGCAGAGAATTGCAAGCAACGGACGAAGTTGGATGCGCAGATGCTTTGCTTGGTGTTGACGGGGGATTCGGTGGGATACAGATCGCGGAGATGGTGGAGACGTCGGTCACGCCGAAGTGTTCACTTAGTAAGCCTTCACTCACGGTCTGCACTGCTGTCGATTGGACAGTGTGGAGCTGCCGCGCACGTCGCGATGCATGAAGTGCTGTCACCACTTGCCGTCGGCAATTGCAGTCGCACGACTACCGTTGAGTCGCGCAGGTCCTTCAACTAGTGGATTTATGAAAACAATTGGTGAGAGAGCGTCGGACCGCTGCTCGCTGGTATGCCCGACACCTTTGTAATGCTCCATGCGACTCCAAGTGCTTCCTTCATACTATGCTGCCGCTTACTTCAGTTGGCACGTTTGGCATGGAATGCATCACCAGTGCTACACATACTCACAAGGAAGCAGCGCAGCAATCAACTTGCAGTCAATCGGTTCGTTACATTCAGGAAACACGCGCTCCGAAACGCCCCAACGGACGTGACGGGTCGTGGGCGCCAGCATCCACTTGAGTGAGGCCCTATGGAGTCCTCTCCCACCGGCACGCGTGTCGCACGTAGCCACAATGTCGCCGCCCCTCGCGTTCTGCCCTATCCACGATCGCCCCCTTCAGCCAATCACGACGCACGCTCTCGAACTTTCTCGTGTCTTCTCGAGCCATCCTGAGTACGTCTGCGACACTCGCTCGTTTCTCCTCCGAATACAAGCGCGCGCTCGCTGCGACTGTCAGTTGGATCGCACATTATTGAACTCACCGGCTACGACGCACTCGAACGGAAGCGATTACACCGAGAGGGAGCGGCAAACTCCGACGCTGCAACTCGACCGAAAATGGGCAAAGACTACTACGCGATTCTGAACGTGTCGAAAGGCGCGTCGGACGACGAGCTGCGCAAAGCGTACCGGAAACTCGCGCTCAAGTGGCATCCGGACAAGAACCCGAGCGATCCGGACGGCGCCCAGCGCAAGTTCCAAGAGATTGGCGAAGCGTACGAAGTGCTGAGCGACAAGAAGAAGCGCGAGATCTACGACGTGTACGGCGAAGACGGCCTGAAGGGGCAGCCAGCCGAAGGGCCTGAAGGCGGGATGCCGGGCGGGATGCCAGGCGGCGGGATGCCCGGGGGGTTCACGTACACGACGACGTCGAGCAGCGGCTTCCCCGGAAGCAGCTTCAGCTTCCACTCGACCGACCCGACCAAAATCTTTGAGCAGTTCTTTGGCACGTCGAACTTGCACGAAGCCGAGCGCAGCGATCCCATGGCGTCGATGTTCGGCGACATGGGCTTTGGTGGGATGCGCGGGATGCGCACCAGCGGCGGCGGCTTTGGCGGCACGCGCGACCCCTTTGGGCAGTCGAAGCAGCCGCGCGCGCAGAAGCTCAAGAGCGAACTGGAGGTCCCGCTCGAGCAGCTCTACGCTGGCAGTGTGAAGAAGCTCAAGATCACGCGCAAGGTGCACGACCCGAGCTCGAACACGCTGCGGGAAGAGCAGAAGATCTTGGAGATTAACATTCGACCGGGATGGAAGGACGGCACTAAGGTGACGTTTGAAGGCCAGGGCGACGCGCTGCCGGGTCGACCCGCGCAGGACATTGAGTTTGTGATCCGAGAGAAGGCGCACCCCAAGTTCAAACGCGACGGCGACAATTTGCTGTACCGGGCCAAAGTGTCGCTGCGCGATGCGCTGCTGGGCAACGGCACGTTGAGCGTCAAGATGTTGGACGGACGCGAAGTGCCTGTTCCGCTCGGCGGTGTGATTGCGCCGGGCACGAAGCTCGTCATTGCTGGCGAAGGCATGCCGCTGCAGAAGAACCCTTCGCAGCGGGGCAACTTGATGGTGGAGTTTGACGTGCAGTTTCCCACGCAGCTCACGGAAGCGCAGAAGAATATGGTGCGTCAGGCGCTGTGAGCGGACGAGTATGTGTGACGGTTGGCAAGCGTCTTGCCATGTGATGTGGTCATTTATTTTTCAAATAGAAAACGGGAGACGAAGGAATGTGCGGTAGACGAATGTGCGGCTGACGTTTTGTCGCGGAGGGCAACAACGCCTTTGTACTGCCTGACGTGGAATGCCCCCGTCGATGATTTAACAGTAGCGACGGGAGGTGTGTATCGATCATTGATCATCTTTTTGTCCGGTACCAAAGGGATGCGCAGCTGTCATTCGCTCTGACCCTTCAACTGCTGATTCCCTTCTCTCTCTATCCCCCAAAGCGGTGTCGTCAGTCCAGTCTTCGATGAGTCTACTTCATGATTAGTCAGTCGTGAAGTAGCATTGGTAGTAGTGATACATACATGTGATAACGTTTGTTGAAAAAAGTAGTGCGTAGGCACGTTGTTCATTTGTTGGCACGTCACCTCTGCCCGTTGTCAACTCCGTGAGTCTGCGTACCGGCCACGCACGACGATAAATGCAACACACGTCAACTGATTCAACTCCACCGTCCGATGGTAATGTACGCGCCGCGTTCAGCCGCACGAAAAGCAGCAAAACAAACGAACACCCACTCGCTACCACGTGCGTCCTCCCTCCCTCCCACCTTCGCCTTCTTCCTTCCCCTCTTCTTCCTCTTCTTCCTCTTCATCACCTTCTTCTCACATGGTTCCACGGCGAATGTGCTGGTACAAGAGCCCATCGGGCGTCACCTGCGACTTGGGGTCCAGCGACCCCGCCGTCGCTGCCCGCGCGTGGACGCGAATGTCGTCCTTCGCGCTCTTGACGTCCTCGGCGGCCTTCTTGGCCTGCTGCGCCCGCACCTTGGCAAGCAGCGCGGCCACGCCGTCCGCGAACGCATTGCCATTGTCTCGACACTCGCTTCGGAGCGCGTCCACCTGGCGCTGGAGCTCGTCCAGCAGCACGACATTGTCCTTGGCGAGCTTCCGCTCCATGCGGCGGCGTTCGCACTGCAGCCCCGCGAGCTGTTTCTGCAGGCGGTTCACGAGGAACTCCTGCTCCTGCTCGAGCTCGTTCTCGAGGTGCACCTTTTCGTGCAGAATCTTCGCCACCTGCGACTCGAGCGCGCGGCGCACGCTGTTGTTCTCGTGCTGCAGCTCCTCGAGCAGCCGCTCCTTCTCGCTGCGCGCCGTGTCGAGCTGCTTCGAGAGGCGGTTCACAATGTACTCCTGCTCGTGCTCGAGCTTGTTCTCGAGGTCGACCTTCTCCTTGCGCAGCTGGTTGAGCTTCTTCTGCAGATTGTTCGTCAAGAGCTCTTCTTCGCGCTCGACTTCGAGCGCCAGCGTCTCCTTCTCGCGCTTCACGGCCTGCAGGCGCTGCATCAGGCGGTTCGTCAGGCGCTCCTCCTCGGCCTCTGTGGACTCGCCCAGCGCCACGAGCGACGCGCGCAGCATCTTGACTTCGAGCTCCAGGGCGGCCGTGCGCTGGCGCTCGAGCACGAGCGCGTCGTCGTCGCGCATGGACGACGACGGACAGGGACTTGGGGGCGGCGGCATCCCGGCAGGCAGTTGCGTGGTCGTTGTGACGAAAAAAGTCGCTTTGTTGACGTGCACAGGTGCTTTTTTCGGTCGTTAAGTAGAGTGAAGTGGAGTGGAGTGGAGTGAAGTAGAGTGAAGTGCGAGAGGATGACGACGGAGAGGCACGACCGTGCGCGCGGGTGGAGAGAGAAAGCGAGAAAAAGCAGGATAGGACAGAGCGAGTTGATGAGGCGACCGCAAGGGACGATGGAAAAGGGGGTTGTAGGTCGTACTGGAAAAGAAGGGGACGGTGCAAACGCGAGGGTCGAGAACACGTTGCGAATACTTCAGGCGGATGCACCAATGACCGAGCGCGGACGGCCTTGCTTTCGAGAACCGACCGCGAGCTCAATACAGTCGACGACGCGGGTTCGAGGTGCCACGTTTTTTCTGCCACAAAAAAGCGGTTTTGCTGGTAACAATGGTTTCGCTTTCTTGTTATTGCCAGCTTTCGACACATCGCGCGAATAAATTACCGCGTCGAGACTCTATTCGCCGCCACGTGAGACTCATTTCGCTCTATTTTGTCGTTTTACAGCCATGGCGTCGTCCTCGCCTTGGGGCGCGTGGAGCTCTAAGCTCAATGTGACGTCGATCGTGTCCCAGGGGATCGAGCAGGTCCGGAGTCTACGAGAGGACGTGGAGAAGTCGTTCGATCACGTCGTGACGGGCGTCCCGGGCACGCGGTCTCTCTCGACGGCGGCGACGACGGCGCAGCAAATAGGAGACGCGCAAGTCGGGAAAAATAAGGCAATACGGTCGACGAATCAGGCGGTTGCGGTATTCGATACGGTGGTGGATACATCAATGGATACGGCGGCTCCAGTCGCAGCCGAAACTCTATTGGAACAGTGGGACTCTATTGATACGGTCGAAGAGAAGGAGAGAGCTGACCAAGTGGAGACAAAAGGTCAGCGACGGGACACAAGAGACGATACTGAGCAAACAGACTATAAAGGAGACGTTCCTGACGAGCAGCAGGTGAAACTGCACGTTCGTGAGGGACTGGCGCCAGGAGCGACTGCAGAGGCTGCAGACGAAGAGGAGAGAGGAGTGGACAGAGAAGAGGAGAAGAAAGAAGAGCAGAAGGCAGAAGAGGAGGAAGGAGAGGAGGCAGAAACGAGAGAAGAGCAGAAGGCAGAAAAAGAAGTACAGGAACAGGAGGAGGAGGAGCAGGAGCAGGAGCAGGACAAGAAGCAGAAGAAAAAGAAGAAGAAGCAGAAGAAGAAGAGGAGAAAAAAGGAGGCAGGAGCTCTTGTTCAGAACGAAAAAGCGAGTGCAGGTGTGGGTGAGGATCGAGAAGGAGGAGCTGAGCAGGAGCAGGACGGAGCGCTTGTTGCTGTCGTTGATAACGAGAACGAGAAGAGTAGCGATGGATATGGAGAAGGACATGCAGAAGAAGGAGGAGGAGAAGGAGAAGCTGTACCGGATGAAGCGCTTGTTGCTGTTGTTGAGAACAAGGAGGAGATTGTCGTGGACTTGCAGCACCAGATGGAGCTCGAAGCGCGCGAGTCGCAGCTGTTGACAGCGTCGACAACGATCCAGAACCTGCACAACGAGCTGGACGAGACGCGTCATCGCGAGATTGTGGCTCTAGAGCGTGTGCAGTCGCTCACGGAGCAGCTAGAAAACATGCAGAGAGAGGTGGCCAAGCTGACGAAATCGCATAATGACGCGAGCAGCAGCAGTGGCCAGCGTGGCGATGTACAGGCATTGCAACTGGCATTGGCTGAGAAAGAGGAGAAGCTGAGTGCGTTGCTTGATGAAGGTCAGGCGTTGTCGGTGAAGCAGGCGCAGCTCGAGCAGAGGTTGCGCTCGCTGCGTAAAGAAAAGGACGAGCTAGAGGAGCGAGCACGCAGAGCAGAGTCACGAGCCGAAGCATCAGCAAAGGAAGTGCAGGAGCTTATGTCAAAGCTGAAAGCGAGCGAGAAGGAGAAGACGCATCTCGCACAGCAAAATAGTCACTTGGCGAGCGATGCGGATACTGCGAGTGCCAGGGTCGAACAAGCTGAGCACAATGCGCTAGAAGCTACACAGCAGCTCGAATCGCTGCAGGCTCAGCTGAAGGAGCTGACGCGCTCTGTTGTCAGTAAAGACGAAGAAATTGCGAGACTGGCGACGGCTTCTCGGTCGAGTAAGTCTCTGAGCCTCGAGAAGGCTGAGCTCGAACAGACTTTGCAGTTTTTGCAAGAAAATGTGCGAGCTTTGGAGGAAGAGGGAACGCGTCGCGAGGTAAGGGCGCGGGCAGAGATTACGGACCTGAAGCACAAGTGGCAGGACGCTATGGCTCGTGTGGACATGCTGGGGCAGAGTGTATCGGAAGCCACGCAGCCGCTGCTTCGCCAGATTCATGCGCTGCAAGAAGACCAGCGGGCGAGGCAAGAAAGCTGGAGGGCGATGGAGATCACTTTTGTTGCTCGTATTGACGAGGCCATAGAGCAACGTCGTGTAGCTATGCAGGAGCGAGTGAATATGGAGCAGCGACTGCATGAAGTGCAACAGAAGGTGGAGGAAGTGGAGTTGGGGCTGATACGAAAACAAGCTGAGCTTGCTCGCGCACAAGATAGTGCAGCAATTGCCAAGGCCGAAGCTCGTGAGTTGCACAAACAAGTTGATGCGCTGCAGATGGACTTGGATCAGGCCAGACACCAGTGTGATGCGGAGACAGAAGTGAAAGAACAACTCCAGACTCGACTGCTGGTTGCCGAGCAGTCTATAAAAACGGCGAGGGCATCATCAACAGCGACGGTCGAGCTGGAGCAGTCTCGTGAGCGCGAGGCAGAACTTCGCCACGATCTAGATTGGCATCGTCAAGAGCTACAGCGATTGAAGACCGCAGTGATGCAAACTGCTGCAATACCATTATCCACAGGCAGTACGTCTTCACAGCATCAAACTGTGAGGCGAAGTCGTGACGACGAGCAGTCCTGTCGATCTGAGGATGCAGACGGTGAACTATCGTCTGAGGCGTCGATTCTCAAAATGGCACTGGAGACGGACTCACTAACGCTGAATGGCGGCAATACGTCGGTGTTGGGACTCAGTCAGTTGCAGCAGCGATTGCGTCTACGTGAAGGTGAGAATCGATTGCTGAAGCAGCAGTTGGAAACACTGGAGGCTCGACAGAAACAAACGGCTGACGAGATTGTCCGGCTAAGCTCACGTAACGCGCTATTGGAGAGCGGCGAGGCACAGCTCGAGCAAGCACAGTTGGAACTGGCAAAATTGCAGAAGCACCAGGTGGTGCTGCTTGAGCTGTTTGGTGAGAAAGAGGAGCAAGTGGAGGAGCTGCAAGCTGAGGTGAAAGAGCTAAAGGCGTTTTACCGAAAGCAGCTTGACACATTGGCGACCCACAGCGAGCAACAGCAGAAGCAGCAAGCAGAGCAGCGACATTGTTAGCGCAGCGGTGGGGAAGTGAAGGGTAAGCTTTGCCGGTACTTATCGCAATGTCCCGTTCTACTTGGCTGACGCGTAAATGCAAACGTCAACGACTCACAGTCGAGATGGACGATCACGAGCTCAACTGGTTTGGCACGGAGTGGGAAGGGTCGACGCGGTCCGTCGTCTCCGGCCCATCACTCTGCAGTCCACACTCCTCGTTGCCATCTATGCCAACGTGCATATTTGGACGCGGTGCAAGGACATTGGCTCTGTGACTGCATTCATGTTGTCATCAGCCCACTGCATGTAGTCGGAGCAACTACCGTGCTCGCAACATCCTATTTCTGCAGAACAGGCGTTGCACAGGCCGTGTCTCGACGACCAGCTTGCCGGCCAGACCGAGTGGCGCGACGAAGTGGTATTGGCGGTGCGGTAACGGTGGATGCATTTGCCTACAGCGGCATGATGTAGGTGATGCAGGTGTGCGAGCATCATGATTGGAGACTGGATGGTCATCGTGGACGGACAAATGTACGGCGGTCAAGATGGTGGCGTTGCAATGGATGCCCCAACATAACAAATCGACTTGATGTTCTACTGCAACAGCACGTGCCTGGTCACACGGCTCCGTGCGTCCGTCTCTGGTGTTGATGACCAGCCAGCTTGCGTCTACCGCGCACAGCTCGTTTCGTGTCAGTGCTTCATGGTGCAAGTGACGCAATACCGGATCTGGGACCAGCATCAGACAGCGAGCGGTTCGTTCGCGTCTCGTCAAATAGCCCGAGCGTCGGCGGTTGGATCAACAGAAGTGCACACCGTGTCGAAGACAGCCTTCTAGACCAACGGCGATGAACCGATGACGAGTTGGAGACGCCTGCAATTGAAGCACCAGACTATCATTGGAACAGACACACCTGCTGTGCCACGGCAGCGCTTCAAGATTAATAAGTACATACATCGATCGATCTAAGACGAAACAGTGACGCGCTGCATCATTCTACAACCGGCTGTCCATGATCCCGCCCCTGGTCCCAAGCAGCAGCTGTGCCCGGTTTATTCCTCCTCCTCGTCATTCATCTCTTCCTCTCCCTCCTCGTCCATGTCGGCATCGTCCTCCTCGTCTTCGTCTTCCGATGTCAGGCCGTCATTTTCGGGCAGCTCGCCCATGATGAGGTCGTATTCCGTGGTATCACCTGCAGCATGAGAGACAGGGGCTGGCTTGAACGTGAGCACACGCTGATGGCCAGTTGTGCTGGAGCGGTACAGGAGTGTCTCGGCCTCGGGAAGCTGTGCAAAATAACAAGCGAACGTTACGGTCAATGCCAAAACGAAGAAGATAGAGACGACCAACGAACCTTAGCAAGGTCCAGCTTCTTGAACCAGTCGGGCAGCTCGAACCTTGACTTGGACTTGGCTGGTGGCAGACACGACGGACTGAGGACGTTCTTGCCAAGGTTCTGCAGGAACGTGCGGGCTACCATGAGGATGTCTGGCTCGCCACCTTTACGGAAGAGGCTGCGCTTGATCGCTAGCTTCGTGAGGAACTCTTCGTCATTCCGGAACACAGGGATCTGGAGCGTCTGCATGATGTTCATGGCATCCCCGCGCTCAATCACGCTCTTGACGACAGGTACAGGGTCTTCGACAAACACACCAGCAATGCCATGACGCATGATCGCAGCGGACTCGTCGCTGTAGTCCGGGTCCAGCGCAGGACAGTCCACTAGCACAAGCTTGTCACTGTAACGCACTTCCTGAGCCGTCTTGGTGGACTGCGGATTGCTTGACACGTTGACTACCTGTCGACGCTTGATCGAGTTGATGAGCGTGCTCTTGCCCACGTTCGGGTACCCGATGACTGCCACACGTGCAGGCTCATCACTGCAGCTGGCCAACTCGTCGAGGAAGATTCGCAGTGGCTGCACGTCTCCGTTATCCCGCATCCCGCTGATCTCTTGCTGGCGGTCGTAGAGCGCCTTGTGACCCTTTTCCTGCTTGGTCTTCTTCGAGCTGTCCGAGACCTTGGCGTTCAGTGCACGCACGGGGATCGTCGGGTGGAAGCGACGCAAGTACGCGACCCATTTCTGCGCCGTCTCGGAGGAGATGAGGTCCACCTTGTTCAGCACAAGCACGACCTTCTTCTGACCTTTGGCCACAAGACCGTCTTCGAGCGACAGCGAGCGACAGCCCTGGGGATCCCGCGCGTCCAGCACAATGAGCACCACGTCGGCAGTTTGGACCGCGTGCTTGAGGTCCTTCTTCGCCTGCATCTCGACGCTCAGCGGCGTCACGGGCGCCACAGCATTCGCGCTACTGCGCGCCAGTTGAGCATGCAGCTTGGCCTTCTTCTTGCTGTCCTTGCGCTGCTGTTGCGCCTGTCGCTGGGCATCGATCTCGGCCAGTCGCGCTTGCTCCACTTGCAGCAGCAGCTCCTCTTTGAACGGCCAATTGTTGGGGATGCCCGGGACTTTTTTCTTCTTGGACGACTGGTGGCCGTGTTTCGCGTCCGACTTGCGCTCCTGTCGCTTGTGCTCACGCACTTTGCGTGCGATTTTGTACTTCTTGTGCAGCGATAAGCGCTTCGACTTTCCCTTCTTCTTGACCATTGCACTGGACGAGGCCGAAGCGTCAAGCGACTGACAGTTGGTCTGTTAGTTGGTCCGTCACGTACGTACAGACGAATTGCAAAGCGTACGTAGCAATGGGCTGATCGAATGTAAGGAGGAGCAGCTCTTGACTTGCAGGTGGTACTTGTCCACTCGAGACGCAGTTGGCACTTGAGCTCAAGTGGACGTGGATGGTGCTCGATAGGCACTGCAGTCCAGTCGTTTGTGTACGACACGCGGATTCGTGTGGTAGAGGAGACCCTCGGCCACTTACATACACCAAGTGCACGTCCGCTTACTAAGACCAAGTCACGCAACGGCGGAAAAGCTCAAAAGTGAGCGATTCTCCACCTGACGTCTAACGATGCGACTGCTGACCCATAATATGCTCGTGTGCCACGTCAAGGTGACCGACTGCAGCAACTGCGTGTGGTATCTGTTGTTGCAGTGCGATTGACAATGAGTGTATGCTGTTCTCGCTTGCGTCTGCTCCTATCGAAAGGCATGCGCTGACACGGCTGGACGCGTGACGGACGGCCGTCCACTGAATTTTCCACTGAGTGTACGTCCGGTGTATCCGCTCGCTACGCCATGTGGACGGTAGTGGACTCTAATGCGTGGCAGGTTTACGATGAACTCTAATGATGGCAGATTGCACCGGAGATGGACGGCGTCGTGGTGCTGGAGACGCAGTACAGCAAGAAGTTCATGCTGCACATTATGCGATCGATCGACTACTCGGCTCTGTGCTACACCACAAAGGAGGTACGTGTCGTTATTGCTGGAGGTGCTCAACATGGCACACGATATGCTCACATGGAAAGCGTACCATCGGCTCCTGTTGCAATAGTTGAACCATCCGGACGTCCCGATCTTGCCAGAGCAGATTTCCATCGATGACTTAGCAGAGCAAGAAGACCTGCTGAAGCTGATCCATCGCGTCCTCTTTGACGTAAGTAGGGTTGTTGCTGCGAGATCGCAAAGTATGATGTGATGGCGTTCTGGATTGGGTGCCAAGTCGTCGTTTGTTTGTTGCGGTGTGGGCTGACATCTTGTCATGTTGCTGGTCGATGCAGACGAATATCGTAGAGGGCGAGCTGCTGTGTCGAAACTGCGGACGTAGCTACCCCGTGTCTAATGCTGTGCCCAATATGCTGCTCGAAGAAGACGAATTGTGAGCGCTTGAGCGACTAGTATGGGTAATAATTGAGTGATTTGCATGAACACAGTGTTGCACACATGCATGTGCTTGTGTGATATGCCTCGAGCTCTTCGTTTGTGGCTATCCTTTGGACTTAGTGCAGCTGGCTTTGCACTGGTCGCGATTGCGTGACATGGCCTCCGTCACGACGACGAGGCAATGCCCCGAACGCCCCACCAACAAAGCATCGGTCCGATTCCAGCGCAAACAGCACACGGCTTTCTGGTGTACACGATGCGATCGCTCCTTGGCGACAGAATCACGCGATGCAAACGCTTCACAACCAAATGGCGACCGTTCCAGTCATCTTTGTACATCAGTTGCGAGCTGTAGCTCGTGGCATTACTTGCTGCACGCGCTTCGCACGGTGAGTTTTGCGTCCGTTTACCTGGTTCACTAGCACCTCAACATCGTGTTCTTGCCTTGTCTTTGCCACTTTGACCCTGTAACTTCATAGACTGCACTATAGTCACGTCTTGCTTAGTCGGACTACCGCAACGCAATGGCACACCTCATCAGCATAGCAAGTAAAGAGGTCATCCTGTCGTAGGGAAACCCCTCGTAGAAGTTCAATGGCGCTCTATCGACATCCAGTATCATCGCTTCCCATGGAGATACTCGAGGCGCCGCATCACTCAGCCACATCCGCCCGCACTTTCATCGACTGGCCGGCAAGCTGACCACCACGATATGTGGTCAGCGTTATCACTGTAGACGGACTTGTCACAAGCAATCTCGGCAGCTTTACTCCGACCGAATGACGTACGCTGATGGCAACCTGGACGCAGTCACAAGCAGGTGTCAACTTGCTCTTCTGCTGGCTTCATGTTGCATTCGGGTGTCTACAAGCAATGGCAACTCGACACTAGGAGATAAGAATAAGCTCACAGCTTCACACTAAATCATCCCACCTGGCACACATGTGCATCAATGCGCTTCACGAGCCTTCAAGAACAACAACACGAAAGCAGCGAGTGCCAAGTGAGCTCATGACCACGTTTTGTTTACCTTATCCGACTCGCGAGGAAACGCGCGCAACATCCGATAGAGCCCTAAAACTCGACGCGGTCTCCTCCGGTCCTACACCAGCTCAGACTTTATGGTCCGAACTAATCGTCTGGACGGAGTAACTCGTCACGTAACACGAGTGCCTCCTGTAACATCTCTTCCAATGGGATACTCGATTCGTCGATTGGAGCTTTGGCACGTATAGCGCAGACACACTTGTTTTTTGCACGACGGCACTTTCGGCAAAATGTCTGGTCTTTGGCTTCTTCTTCTCCCTTTGCTGCATTCTCATCGATTACCTCCACCTCGGCCACAGGAGCCACATCCGTGTCAACAGCAACGTCGCTATCTTTTCGCACATCATAGAACAACTGCAGCAACTGGCAAAGCTCCGACGCGTCCAGATTGGTCAGCGACTTCACTTGCTCGCTACATGGCAACGTCACGTGAGCATCAGAGTCTGCCATTCGATTTTGTCGATGACAATAGACCGGTGAACTCACCTGCGCTCTCCATCCAAGAGCTCGTCGAGTTTGACGTCGTAAACTACAAGCATCAAGATTGTTGCAATGCAAATCCACTAGCACAACAGACCGTCAAGCCAAGCCATATTGTCTAGCTGTCAATGAGACGACATACCTGATGCGCATTCCGAGTGTCGATGGCGTCACGAAGTGCGAACGTCTCTGTGATCCTATCAATGCGGTGGTTGGCAAAACGATCGCTGTCAAGTTTCAGCTTGAGTGCGACTTGAGGCAGTGGACGGCGTAGCATGAGCGAAAGCGAGTTCCACCTCTCCGAACGAATTTGACGTGCACGGCGGCGCGCAGCATCAACCTCAGCCTTGTCCAATCCTTCAGGCAGAAACTCCAACTCATCATTGTCCCACTTCTTGGCAAGCATAGGCTTGCCTGCAACAAAGAGTGTCGTGTCGTGGGTGATCCAGCTAGACAGCAAGCCCCAGAGGTGGCTGAACAGTGGCAGATCATTCAGAGTCACCACTTCTTCGTCATCGAAATCAGAAATCTCAAAGCTGCCAGCGGAAGACACATCACTGGCAGCCAAATCGCTCTCATCGCTGTCGCTGACCACAATATCGTCGTCATCGTCACCTTCCTCTTGACTCTTCTTGACAATCTTCTCCACTTTCTTCGCCAATTTCTGCTTGTGTGCGGGAAACACGTAGCCTTCAATCAGCGTCGCCTGCTCCCGCGTTGGGAAGCTGCGGTCCACCTGCGTCGGCGCTTCATTCTCCTTCAACGTGGACGAAACGCCACCTTTCAATGCCGATAAAGCACTAGGCGCATGACCATACCCACCACGAACACCAGCCGACATCGGACGTGCTGTCGAGTGCCTCCGTTCCACAACACCAAGATCTTGTGTCTTGGCCCAAGCCAATCGGACCTTCGGCATTGGCTCGGACTTCTCGACTCCCGCGTCTCCAGCGTCAGCACTTGCCTTTGTTTTAATGTTGTTGTCGCCGTCTTCATCTTCATAGTCAAGTGGATTGGGCTGATCCGTGCCGAACACTTCCACAATCGACGGAACCAACTGCGGTGGCTTCTGGTTCAGTGTTGCCAGCAACACTCGAGCTCTCTGCAAGAAAATAAAGCACAAGCGTAGACACAGACAGCAAAAACAGTCAGCGTCAAGACCTCACCGCCCAAAAATGTTCGTGTAGTTATCGACACATGTTGAACCGACAACACACAAGCCGAGACTATACAATAAGTACACGACAATGTAGAAACATAGTCATGTCCTTTTACATAATCATACATCAAGGATTTATGTATCTGTAATTGTTTCAAGTAACTGAATGCACGTACACTACAAGTCAATCCATAAACATAGCAATACCTTATGGCAGATTTGGGAGCAGAATTGCCGCTCGTATCGGGCCTCATAAATCTCGTGACGCGCCAACGAGACCCGAAATTTGCCGGTGGTGCTGCTCGGCATAGTCAACACAAGACAAAGCATAAGCAAGCCCATGATTGGGTGAAAAGCAGCCCAACGAGCGATGATTCGATAAAAACACGCCACGCACGTCGCGAGCAGCTGCGCGCAGCCTGGGAACGCGCAGCGCTTGGCAGCCGCGCGCTCCTCGAAGACCTCCTCCATCTGCCGACGCTGCAGCAGCTTCTTGCACAGGTTCAGGTACCGCATGGACACGCGCGGGGCCAAGAGCGTCGCCATGAGCGCGAACGCTTCGTGGACATTCGAGCCCTGGATGCTGGTCATGGCGATAGAAACGAATAAAAGCGTTGAAACCGGCAAGGCGCGTGGATCGGTTCGTTTCTAACGCGAGCTGGGTCGAAGGGATTGTGTGTCGAGGCTGTGATAATGGATAGTACGCGGCAACGAGACTCAGATAATATGGCTTGGGATCAGATCTCGGTCCGAGAAATGGAACGTTGCGATCGCATGTGACACACGCAAGTGGCAAAAGGGTTCAACAACACGGCTCGCATCGAGTTCATTGACTTTCGTAGTTCATGATGCACTCTGTCCTCCGTGAACGCAATCTTATATGGTCAGCGCGTGATCGGCAACAACACAAAAGCGTGTAAGCAAATGTGCTTGCGAGTAAGTGCAAAAGGACGAGAGGCTGACAGTAGTCGGGTTTGCCGATGCAACAACTCTCACGACAAGAGCAACTGTAGATGTTCGTGCCTATCGAGTACATTGGCCACCCACTACATTGCAATAGTTGCGTCCAACGTGCAGAGATGCACGAAAGAACGAGACTCGTGCATCTGCTGTTCTTAGTATAACACCGTGCGACCCAATTCTCTCTTGATCCCAAGAAGTAGTAGTGTCACCGAGACCACCACCCACGTTTCGAGCGCAAACCCGTGGGTGTTATCCACCGTCAGAGTAACCACAGACCGAGGGGCACGTTTATCCCAGTACTCAAAATACCGGTTCTGTCCGCCGCCATCACGACGATACCGCCGATCAACAACGAATGCATCAAAACATCCACATTGATGAACGCCACATTTATTGCGGACAGCCGCTCTGTCGCGCGTGTTGTCGCACGAGCGGATCTCGCGCCACTTCAAGTTCAGGCGAAACGAGAGCCCATTCACGTCGTTCCTCACTCCCACTCGCGCTCATTTTATAAAAAGCCAATCCGCAGACACACAGTATTAAGAGCGCGAGAGGCCGACGTTTCGACACGCCCATCATCTCTGTCACGGCCTCCACCATGTTCACTCGTCGCGCCCCGTCTTCCGTGCTCTCGGCCGTCCGTCGCCGCAGCTTCGCCTCGACACGTACGCTCGTCATGTTTCTCCATTCCACAGCACTGCCTCTTGCAGCACACGCGCTTGTCTCTTGTCAGCGCCACCCGATCGCACCCGCTTCTCTTTGCTCCCCTATCCTGTACTCACTATCCTGTCCATGACTATCCCGTGTTCTACGCGGATGTGCTATCCTGTCTGTAGCCGAGTACGAGCACATTCGGACGGAGATCCGCGATAACGTCGCGCTCATTACGCTCCACCGGCCGCACGCGCTCAACGCGCTGTGCAACGCGTTGTTCCAGGAGCTCAACGGCGCGGCCCACGCGTTCGACGCGGACGACCGCATCGGCGCTATTGTCATCACGGGCAGCGCCAAAGCGTTCGCGGCCGGCGCCGACATTAAGGAAATGGCGCCCCGGACGTTCGTCGACGTCTACCGCAGCAACATGTTGGCCGACTGGGGCGACCTCGCGACCGTCTCGAAGCCCGTGATCGCGGCCGTGAACGGCTACGCGCTGGGCGGCGGCTGCGAGCTCGCGATGCTGTGCGACCTCATCATCGCCGGCGACTCGGCCAAGTTCGGGCAGCCCGAGATCACGCTCGGGACGATCCCGGGCGGCGGCGGCACGCAGCGCCTCGTGCGGGCCGTGGGCAAGGCCAAAGCCATGGACATGATCTTGACGGGCCGCCTGATTGACGCGCAGCAGGCCGAGCGCGACGGCCTCGTGGCGCGGGTCGTGCCGGCCGACCAGCTGCTGGACAAGGCGCTCGAGCTGGCGAAGCAGATCGCCGGCTTCTCGCAGCCCGTGGTCAAGATGGCCAAAGAGGCCGTGAACGCCGCGCACGAGCAGTCGCTGCAGGAAGGCATCAAGTTTGAGAGCCGCCTGTTCTGGAGCTCGTTTGCGACCAAGGACCAGAAAGAGGGCATGGCGGCGTTTGTCGAGAAGCGCACGCCCGAGTTTACCAACGAGTGAGCAGCGACAGCGGGCGATTGATCGGTCCATTGGTGGCTGGCCATCGATCGGTAGGCGGCAACGCGGCGATCGTGCACGAGCAAGTGGCCTCGGTTCTGTACGTGACGTCGTGACGGTTTGTTCCTTGTAAGTGACGTGATGAGCGAGCCGAGAAGAAGGAGAATATGATGCAAGTGTTTGTGCTGCTGGTGCTGCTGTTGTTGTTGCCAACTGGTGGGGACTCTATTATGTGGACAGCAGATCGAGGGCAGCAACAAGCCTGTGCTTCTTGCTACCATCGACTCTCTGTCCAATGGCTCGAGTGGCTATGGAGGCGGCTGCACAGGTGTGACGGTGCAGGAGCTCACGATGCAGCCCACACACTGTCGTGGCTGGCAACACCGAGAACCTCCATCCGCAACATCGCTTCACGTACCTTTGCTCTTCTTGGACGAGCTGCGGGTTGGACTGCTTCCTACAGCAGTCCCTCTCGTGCCATTCGCTCCGCCATGACAGCCGCTAGCATCGCCAGCATCATCGCCCGCGCTTCTTCTTCTTGGACAGCACGAGCGCGGGCACTCGCCGTTGCAGGTGCTTACTATCGCTGTCGGTATTGCCACTTATCGCTTCGAGCACCCACTCGGGGATCTCGGAACGCGTCACGTGGTCGATCTGCATGTCCATTCCGCTGTCACGAGCTTCCCACTGATCAGTATAGAAAGCAAAGTCACGGATCACGCTCGTCAGGTCTACACTATGCGTCGCGCCCGTCGTCGGCACCTCTTCCGGCACAGTAAAGCATAGCCCAATAAACAGCCAAGACGTGTGCACACACTGTGGGTGCGTCGCGCTATCAAGCAGGACGCCCTTTGCCTCGACAAAGTCGAAAAAGCGACCGAACGGGTGGATCTGCACGTCCGGCAGTGTTTCCAGTCTACAGAAAAGCACAAACACATAGCCAAAGACGCACAAACAAGCGGCCGCACCATTATCGATCGTTGCAGACACAATTCCAGCCATGCGGTACAGGCAGCACAGCTCATGATTAAGACCCGGAAGGAAGCAGCAACATCAAACACATGCAGCGACCGGCATCACGTACCGAAGGAACAAATGCCGCAGTCGAGATTCGACCCAGCCAAACCATCTCTCAAAGTCTTCCGCACTGTTTGCCATGATCTGGACTCGAAGAAAGTGTTTCGACCTACAAAGACGGTAACAACTGAGTCACAAAACAGACTGCACCCATTCGCGACAAGCACAAGCCTGACACACAACGCGAGGTCAGGCAGCGGTATCACACGAGCATAAAACCTTTGAAAGAACGCCGGAGCTGCAAACAGCTTTGACCACGTCGACTTCTGCACGCACGCAAATCAGCATCGAAAAGTGTACGCCAGATCACGCTACGGACGTCTCCTCACCTTGGACTCAACTTCGAGCGTCCGATCCAACCCGTTCCCAAACTCTGCCTTGAGAATGCGAAGAGTCGACGCCATCACGTTGTACGATGAGTTTGACGCCGGGTAAGCGGGCGTGATGATCGGCATCAAGTGCAATCGGTCACGAGCATTGAGCTTCGGGTTCCATCCCTGCCATCGCATCCACCAATCCCACGTGTGAGCTCAACATCGCACGAGAGCACGTACTGCGGACATGTCAGCAATGAGACTGAAAGCTGCCACGTCAGTATCGCAACAAAGAGTACAAAAAGCATTTGCATCACCGAAAAGCCGAGATTCAGCGCATCGTCCACTCTGGCGAGCATGATCGGGTTCGGCCATGTCCACATCTGATAGATCCGGAAGAAGCGCGAGAGTATGGACGCCGGCAGCGCGTTCGGATAGAACTGGCAGATCCGTGCGACAAGGATGGCCCAATTGACGCCACCAAGAAACCCCAGTACGTTCGAGTAGATCCCGCGCATCTGTACACCACAGCATTGCCTCACGGCACGGCAACTCGTCACGCACAAACGCAGCGACTCCATAACGTATAGTACGCTCTTGTCGACACCGTACCCGGGCCCAATGCTTGACAGCAATCAACGTCGTCCGGAACGTCTCTGGGTTCGGCACGAGCTGCAAGATGCGTTCGGTCACGCGCACTCCATTGCAGCTCCGAACCGAAGCCTCGTCCAGTCCTTTCAGGTACTGATCGTCCAGCATGTCGATGTCAACGGGCACCGCGTCCAGCTGAAGCGACACAAACAGCAGGTCCACTGGAATGCCGTACACCTTCATCTTGATCACGGGCACGAACCTACGCGACGTCCATCAACCCACAGCCAGTCAAATGTATCCCACCACTCCATTTCTCTCTCTCTCAGCAGCAATAGCAATAGCAGCGGCTGCAACGTACGCGTCGCCGATCACGTGCAGACCCGTTACATCCGGTGCTGCGTCCAGCAAAATCGGCACTTTGTCGAAGAAACTCGCGCGTGTGCAGTGTCGTGGAGCAACGCACAGTCTATAGTCATGACACCAACAGCATTCGAGTCAGTTCTGCTTACGCCACGCTCACTCTATTTCTATCCCTATTTCTATCCGTAACAACATAGCGCGCGCAACGTACGTATCGATATCGGCCTCGCGACTCTGCACGCCGAGACGGTAAGAGCCAAAGGTGCGCAGCTGCAACTGCTTTGTCTCTGTCTCCCTCTCGTGCAGTGCGTAGTACTCATGCAGCACTTGCTGCAGTCGCTCAAGCACGCGCTCCCGTCGCAAGAGACGCTCTTTTGACTCGTACAGACCACACAACCTGTGGTGAAATGGGTACACCACATTCGTCCAAAAGACAATCAGTCAGTCAGTCAGTCATGAAGTCCGTCTCCGTGCGCGCAGGTGGATACAATACGGCACTCATAACGTACTGTAGCGTCTGCAGTAGCTCATCGTTCAGGCGCTTGTCGTGGTCCGAAGGGGCGGCAGTCGAGAGCGGCGTCGTCATCTATTCGTGTTCGTGTCGATCTGACCGGAACCCTATCGACGCGAGATAGAGCCGAAGGCGAATGGATAGAGCCGTGTGAATAGAAATCGATTCGATTGCAAGCGCTGTAACGAAGGCATGAAAACACCGGGAAACGGATTAATTTACACGGGTTGATACGATGAATTCAGACGAGGCGGCGTCTCTCTTTTGACCGCGGAAATAACTATAGCGCTTGGGAAAGGCCGAGGAGGTCACGTATCATATTGCATTACGAGCCATGGGAAACGTGAGACACATGTGCATGGATAGTCGACGTTGGAGGCGCTTGCGACAGAATGTACTGAGACAAGCTCGATTGCAACCGAAGTCTTCGCACGTCTGCGGGACGATGCAGCAGCAAAACACCGTCTGCAGTATCGTGGCCTGCACTTATACAGATTACGCAGCATAGACACGACCGTTGGGTTGCGCAATGGTCCACCGCAGTCATGACAAACAGCAATCGACACAGTGTGCAGCGCCGAGTCATCAGACTGACCACTGCGCCATTAGGCGGTACTTCCAGTGATCCACAACGTCCGGTTACGCGACGTCGAAAACCTGAACAAAAGAGCTGTCAAACACAGCGATTTCGTCCATTGCGTGTCGATCGGATGACGAACAGCTGCACAGGATCGCCCACATATGTGTCCACTTCGCCTTCTTACGATGCAGTGCGGGGCCAATATACATCGAGCGCAATGGCGTTCAGTCGAGCTACAACTTCCCCTGCAGCTCAGACGACACGTCGTCACTTGTCGTTCGCAACACGTCCGACGCAGAGTCCAATCGGCTGCACCCCATCCAATTCACTTCGCTTTCTTGACGACAAACGGTACAATGAGAAGCTCTTGCCCCATTCCCAACCGACGGACCGCCATCAGCTGCTCACTTCAGTACGACGTTCAGAGCTGATGCTCTGTCGACTTTGCTGCGGCTTAGGCAGAGCTGTGTCATAGCTCTCACCTCATAGCGCTTTCGTCGCGTAGGCCGTCACGGGCTCTTGTGCTACTGTCGCCACTTCGCCGGCCCGAGACGCGACAATCTTCACGGGGATCTCAACGTGCACGCTCGGGCTCATAAAGAAGTTGCAGTGCACTTCAACGTGGTGACTCGTCTCGACAAAGCTCGAGGCCACAGGCGGACAGACGGCATAGCGCTTCGACTTTCCAACGAGGTCGAGCGAGTGCGGGCGGTCAATCACCGTCGCTCCCGCTTTCACCCCAAGAAACGTCTTCTTCACGAGACACGTGTGGGCTCTGATCGCGTCGCAGCCCTTGTTCTCACGAATGAGCAGCGTCTCCATGAGCTGCACGGACACGGACTTGACGTCCATATTCGCGCCGTTAACAACAGACACTCGAAGGTGCAGCGTGTCGCCAGCCACGTGGACGTCCTGGTCGAGCGACGCCGAGACTTCGCAGAAGCCCTGTCGAAGGACGCCCCAGCGCTTTGCGGGCTGCGCCGTCGCTTCCGTGCGCGGCCGAATGAGCTGCGCGATCCGCGTGTCGGTCACGGCCAGAAGCTGCTTGGCCCGAAGGTCAGGTGTGAGCGCCCCTTTCACAGGCACGCGCAGCTTGAGCTCGTACTTGACTGCAGCGTCAATGTCGAAGGTGTCCCGCGCATGGCGCTCGTCCACGTGGAAAGCGCCCGGGAGCGTCGAGCCGAGCGGGTAACTGAACGGGAAACTGTACTCGCCGACAGGAAACACAAGAGACGAGTTGCACGTGTCGTCGGTTGACAGCATTACTTGGTCGGCCAGCAGCTGGTTCCTGTGCGTGCGGGACACGACCAGGTCGCCGTACATCTCGTTGTAGCGCACGTACTCTTCGCCATGGACCTCGAGCAGCAGTGCTAAAGACCGCAGCACCAAAGCAAAGCAAAGCACAACAAACACACAAACAAACAGACAAGTGGTTGGTCAGGAGCGATTGCCCGAGGACGATACAGCTCAATGGACAGCACACTGCACCTCCATTGGTCTTGAAGTCGCGGGACACCGACAAGTGGACAGTGCCAAACACAGTGTCGCCAGGTTCGTAGCTCGCGCGGTCGAGTTCAAAGCGCACGCTGCCTCTCGAGCCGACGCCCAGAGCCTTCGACAGCTTCTCCATCATCGATCGACTGAGCTGCTCGACAAGTTCTTCTCTCGCTCTCGCTCTCGCTCTCTCTCTCTCTTGTGGACGAGGGACTGGTGTCGGGAAGAAAAAGGCGAGTGAGAAGGTCCGAGGACGGCCGTCGGTAGGGAGCTACGAGTCAGTGAGTAAACCACTATGAACGGACACCTGAGTTACGATGGGGGGGCCGAGTTGTGGGGTCCTACGCACGAAAGTCGTCCGTCAACGCCCCTCCGAGCAGTCAACAAGAGGCGTTCATAAGTGAAGGGGTCCCCTCGCCCCCCCCCCCCCTCTCTTCCCGACTGCCACCAAATGCTTTGTCCAAAGTGTCTTTCGTGACGTTGTTGCTCCGTAGCTTAGTACATGCTACGGACGCTAATGACTACGGGGAACCAAAAGTGCCTCAATGGAGCGGGTGGATGTCCACTTGAGAGCCGGCGAAGAGCTTTGCCAGCGCAGAACGAACATTCGCTCTCGCGCGTCACATCGACTGGTCGCTTGAGCTCAACTGCTTACGGTGTCAACCGAATCGAGTCGGAGTGTGCAGATGATGGTCACTTGCGAGGACAATCACGCGATGTGGAAGCTGAGAGAGCCACACCGTCAGCACGAGCATTGCGTGGGTGTATGAGCGGTTGACAGTGCCGCTAACGACGCTACGATCCAAGTGGGATTGTGTCGCACCTGACTGCAGGAACCTGTTCATCTTGTTGATGGGATGCAATCATCGCTTGTTTCTCGTCTGCGTGCATGATGGTAGATATCCTCCACGCTTTCCGACGATCTACGGCGACGCAGCGCACATCTGAAGCTTCTGCTCCAGTACAACCAGGTGACGATCTCTCACGCGGACTGCCCCCTTCACCTTTGCCAACCGATCTCGACAGACCATCGCGTAACGAGGTCTCTTACCTCCTTTCCACGTCGTAGTGATGGAAGTCTGAAGCCAGAAGCCAGAAGCCTCACTTGGTGCCTCGTCAATCTCACTCGACAACTTGTTGACAACTTACTTGCACACATACGTTCCGAGCAGCTACGTTTGCACAGGGTAACCAGAGACGGGCAAAAGGGCAAAGCACGCGGTCTCACAGTCAAAGCAGTCGTAACGGGCATACTCAGCCACTCTTGCTCTCCCTCACAGGTGACTTGCTGCTTGGAAGCATCGTGCTTAGCGTAATAGAGCCGCTCAAGGTTACGTAAAGTCGTCACTTGGTAAATGTCACAACTAATAGCTGTGTGTCACATACTACCAGTAGTCAACATCGTTGACGCTCCATCACTCGAGGCAAGAAGATGTCTACGTGGACTTAGAGGCAGTGGCCAAACGGCTGTTGTGTCGTGCTCCTTTGATGCAGCTTTGTATGTATTACCTCTTTCAGTATGGCAGCACCCGGAGATGCAACTTTAACTTATCCGGACGATCATTGACGGACAGTTGTCATGTCGTCGGCTTCGTCAGGTTGGCGCAGCAGGTTGGCGCAGCTTTTGCCGAGCGGCTCTGATAACAAAGCGTCTTTGATGCGGGTATGATATGGACAGGAAGGTAAAGATGAATTCTAGCTCGACCTCGAGGCGACCAGACTATACTCCACGCGAAATCCACTGCATTATCATGGGCATACATTGTGGGTAAATGCTTACAAAGTGGGCTTAAACTAGTACAGACACAAGCCGACTTCCTCGCTCTTCTGATAAGTCGTCACACAAAAAATGAGGTCACGAAGGTTCAGTCGGAATAGATTAAGCAAACAGGTCGAGATACCTTTGACTATCTCGGCAAATGTGCACACAACGTACGATGTGGCTCTTATCGACGATGTTTATCAATTCATGCTCAGCGTCGTATTCGACGCATTGATCGATGTCGAGGCGGTCCTTCAGTCATGAGGAATCCTCACCAGTGGAATCAGAAGTCCACACCGAGTACATATAATCGGTATCATGCCGTTCCTTACCTGTTACTTCTGTGCCAGGTTATCCGCCTCATGCATGACCTACCCTATACGACACATTGACGTGCACTAGTTACACGAGTATCAAACAAGCTGAAGCGTAGTCTATCTTTCTACGAACCGTGTCGGAAATATTGCCGACGAAAGTTATGATCAAGTTATTCTCCGTCTTACCGTGTCGTTTCGTACCCTTGCTAGCTTCTAAAGAGCCGATTCGAGGAATTTTTGCGGGACCACGAGAACATTTGGAAGCGCTGAATAACCAAGTATGATGCTGCATCGACAGCGATGACTGTCTGCACAACTGTAAGACCTGCTGACAATTTCGATCAGCAACTGTCGTCTGCGCCAAATGCAATTGCATCTAGTACCACTATGCGCGCATCGAGCACACGTCGTCTTTGGCTTGAGGTTGCTCATCGATATCCTCGATCGAAACTGTAACGGGGTTACACCACATGTGTGGCTTACACAACCTGTGTGAGTTACACAAGGGGACGGAGTCCCATAAACGATAATATTAGAACACCATATCGATTGTCAAAGGCTGACGCGTGCCAGCCACCGAATTAGGAGATTCTTTTAGAGGTATTAATTACAACATTCGTGTTTCGATTCAGTACGTTTTTTAGGGTGTTCTTTTACATTAAAATAAATAAAGTTCAGTTCCCCTTTTGAGCACTTAATATACGTGCCTCACGAAACGTCTTTGATCGTTAGGAGCTAGCAATATCTGTGAAGGCAGCTCCTCCCGATCACTCTGTGCTGTGATTCTCTTGAATCGTTTGGTCCCCTGGAACCGGGACCGTAAGCTCTCGAGCTTGTACACTCTCTGAGTCGGGTTCTCTCCACCAAAGTTGCCCGTTGAGCATTAGGTCTTTATCTGACTTAAGAAGCTGTGCATCTTCGCTACACTCGGTAGCACTTGTAGTCAATCTACACCTGAGTCGTTACGACTGACCCTCTGTGAGGATGGAGCAATCTATACCCCCCACGGAGGCTCAAAAGGTCGCTCTTGATAAGCTGACCGCGGCCGTGGGCCCAAAATATGTTGAGTTTCTAGCTGCGCAATGTCCCGACGTGCTCAACGCGCGTGTCGAGACCTTCATGCAGTATGAAACGGCCTTTTTAGAGCAGGTTCAAAACCAAGCAGCGTCGGCTATGTCAACACGCTTTGTGGCAACGCCAGACGAAGAGGCTAAGCCTCGTTCCCTTAGGGTGAACGTCAAACATTACTCCGGGAAAGAGGTCGAAATCTTAACCTCTGGATCCGTGAGATCGAAATTGTCATGAGATCTGGCCTCATCTCACTTGAGCATCAGCGAGTCTCGCTGGCGATCTCTAAGCTCGATGGGAGAGCAAGGGAGTGGGCTCTGACGTGCAGCACGTCGGTTAACTTGGCGTTTCCCACATGTAAATCGCTCAAGTTAGACCTTTTGCGAGTTTTCTCGCCGTCCAACCAGGCTTACCGCGTGCGCTCACGCTTCTTGTCTACCCGTCAGGGTAAGAATGAGTTAACGGACTATGTCCAAGAGTTGAGAACTCTTATGGCTGCTACACAGTCTGACCCTCTCCCTGAGACATTCTACGTGACTGTTTTCATGGAAGATTTTAGCACTGGCGTTGCCAGGACCGAGGTCTTTCGGGTCCATCCTTCTACATTTAAAGAAGCTGTTAGCATCGCTCTGAATGCTGAGCACAACTTCAAGTCGGCCAGACTTGGTTAGAATGGTTATAACCCAAACGTTGAGAGGGCAGCCTCATCAAATACTTCGTCTTACTGTAAGGCTAAATCAATGGATCTCAGCAACGCCGGAGATGAAGGTGAAGCTGAGCTTCGTGTCGAAGAGCAACAACAGGAAGTGAGACGCTGTTACATTTGCGGAAGCACTAAACAATTGCGTCCCACTTGTCCTTTGCGTAAGAAACGACCGACTCCTATGATTCAAAACCCCGGCCTCAACCAGAAACCTGGTATGGCACGGGTAAACGTCTATAACCAGTAGGCGCGGGGTGTCCAATTGCGGTTGAACTGGGTTCTGCCACTTCTCTACGAGGTAGAGTGAAACAGGAATTATCCCCACGGAGCTCTGTGCCAGCAAACAAAGAGCGTAGATACAAGCCTGGCTTATTAGTCGCCGAGGCGAAAGTTAAAGGCTTTGAGAAGCATTGGTCTATCCTACTCAATTCCGGAGCATCATGCAAATATGCTCGACGTCGTTCGCTTGGGGGAACTCAGCGCTATGCTGAAGCGCTCAAAGCGCATGAAGGTGATTCGATCACCGTTCTTTTAGCGACTGGTAGTCGTGTCACGGTGCCTAAAGTTCCGTTGAATTAAGATGTGAAGTCTTTGGACTTTGACAGAATTGAACGCTGTCTTGTCCTTGACCCGAATTCGAGATACGATCTCATCCTACGTATGGCTTGTCTCGAACTCCATGAGCCATGGATTGATTGGATGTCAAAGACCTTAGTCTCAAAGCGCAATGTACCTAGTGAAGCATTGTATATTCATAAACCATCCTTCGCTAGGCAACAAACGGACTATTGGCGCGAGCCATTGACGGAAGATGTCAATGTACTTGACATTGGTATGTCCAATTTAAATAAGTGAAGTGTCCATGACATTAATGATGAGCGTAGCACTTTCATTGTCAGTCAAATGACACGTGTACTGTTCAGTGATACTCGTTGTGTAACGGGGCACGCCTTGTGTCAATTTGACACAAGGTTGTGTAAACCCGACGTCACGTACAAGTGGTGTGAGGAATCACAGCGAAGTAAGTAGAACTCGAAAGTTCTGTCATAAGGTAAAAAGTAGAACTGTATTTAATATAGTTATGTTATCTGAATAAACCATCTTTGTCTTGAGCTTTCTATATTAAACTACAATTTCCTATGTGGGTGTCTTGGTCATCACCCATTGCGCGCGTCCAGCAGCGATTGGTGGTTGATCTGGTTGTTGTACCGTGAACATCAAATATCAGGTGGAGCGACCCATCAAAGAAATATTACCCTCGGGGGTAATATTCCTTCAACCTTACT